TGAGTGTACTAGACTGCAGCATGCTACCAATTATGAATTATATGCAAAAAACTGACACACAACACATAAAAGAGATAATAGGACTGGACAAGAAGATGGGCTAGTCATGTATCTCGAGCAAGGGATAACCATGGATAGCCCAAGTGTTTCAGCAGTACCAATATAATGTCAAGAGGCCTAGAGAAAGGTATTCCAACCATTAGGTGGACCCCTTGTAAAGCATATGTGAAAGGGCATGGGAAAAGGTGGTGCAAGATGAAATAGACGTCAGTGGGTTATGATTTGCCCAGCTGAAGAATGTTCCAACATTGCTGAGATCTGGACGCATTGAAGTAACACAATATTTTGTTCATTACTACTAGCAGATATTAAGCTTATCTTCCCAATTAGATTGGTAAATTTCTTGAAATTGGGACCATACCTTATGCTCAGTATTGAGTGCACTATTGACTGACTGATATATGGATTACTACCTCATTTCTGTCTTTGTATAGCCATGGATTCTTAATCTTTTTTTATGTCTTGTACTCCTTTGGCAGTCTTGTGACCTCTTCTCTAAATAATGTTTTTAAATACATAAAATAAAATACGTTGGGTTATAAGGGAAAACAATTATATTGTAATACAGTTATCAAAATACAGTTTTTTGAAGAAACAACTTCACAGACTCCAGGTTAAAAACTCCTGTCTGTAGATTGAAACAGAACACCTATCTTCTCTTATACAAGTATTTTTTTCCTAACCAGACCTGTGATTTCTTCTGCTTAGGGTTGTTTTTGTTGATCAGTTGTTTCAGTCATGTCTGACACTTCATGACCCCATTTTGGGTTTTCTTGGCAAAGATACTGGATTTGCCATTTCCTTCTCCAGCTCATTTTACAAATAAGGAAACTGAGGCAAATAGGGTCAAGGGTCACACAGCTAGTAAGTGTCTGAAGCCAAATTTGAACTCAGAAAGATGAGGCTTCCTGACTCCTGGCCTGGCACTCTATCAACTGAGCCACCCAGCTGCCTCCCCTTAGGGACCTCCCAGCAAAGAACTTCCTCTATCATGCACAAATCATAACCTTCTTGGCAATTTTCAATCTCGAAGCGTTGCCTAGGGCTCTGAAAGGTTGATGGTGGCTTTCTTAGGTTGACACGGCCAGTATGTGTCATAAGCAGGACTTGAATCCAAGTCTTCCTGGCTCTAAGGCCAAATCTCATTCGCTATGTAACATTATCTCTCATTCTTTTATATATTATTTATTGATTCTGTAGTGCCTTTGGAAACAAGAAGAGGAGACTTATTGACAGCTCTCTTTCCTCTCCCTTCCTCTATGTTGCACTCTTACTATTTCCCTGACTTTTTCAGATTTCCTAGTCTCAGGGCCCTGGCAAAGTCACGATTATAAGGATTTCCTTTGGCCCTTCACACTTGTCTCTGCACCCTGATAATACTATTCCAACTTCTTAGGTGTTTTTAAAGGGAATTATTAGGAACAAGAGAAGCAGTGAGGTATAGACCATGGGGAACCAGCCTCAGAGCCCTTAAGACCTGGGTTTAAGTCTTGCCTCTGATTCGTATTAGCTCTGTGACTGTGGGCATAGGACAGCTAGCTTCTCAATGCTCTTAGCCACTCTCAAAGAGTATACATTGGCAGAGAAGGTGCTGACCTTCATTAATAGAAGGCATTTCCTCATCAGTGAGTTCCTCATGTCAATGAAAATGCTGACCCAAACCCTATCCCAAACATTACTATGAAAAACTACAGAGGAACACCTTTGTGTGAATGGTACCACCATTCTGCTCATCATTTTGTTACTCTTCCTTTTTATTCCAACATATATTACTAGGTGTCAAAGTCTGTTGCTTTTATCTACAGAACATCTCTCCTCTTCATCTTTTCTTTATTATTGCTATTTCCACCACACTAGTAAACATAGAAAATGACTAGATACACCTACACTTAGTACAGGTCTTTGTTAGCTCTCCCTGGGGCTATTACAATAACATATTAATTGCTTCTGTCACGTCTAATCTATTTTACACATGCCTTCCAAATCAACAGTCCCAATGTCCCATTCTGATCACGTTCAACAGCTTTCAACATTTCCCTATTCCCAGTCTGAACTCAACCTGGCATTCAATGCCCTTCATAATTGGATTCCAATTTATTTTCTCATAGTATTATCACCTTATATATTGTATTGGAACATGTGCTGTGGCCTCATTCTCTAGGCCAGGGGTGGGGAACCTACTGCCTCAAGGCCACATGTGGCCCTCTAAGTCCTCAAGCATGGCCCTTTAACTGCACCCAAATTTCACAGAACAAATTCCCTTAGGTGAAGTTTGGATTCAGTCAAAGGGTCACACTTTGGGATTTGTTCTGTGAAGTTTGGATTCAGTCAAAGGGCCACACTTGAAGAACTAGAGGGCCACATGTGGCCTCGAGGCTGCAGGATTCCCCACCCCTGTGTCTGGGCCCAACCAGCTCTATCTCCCCCTTCTCTTCCTCTAAGATCCAGCTTAAGCGATACCTTCAACATGAAATCTTTCTCAATCCTCCAAGTGCTAGTGTCTCCCTCTCCCATACTACTTTGTATTTATTCTCATCATATTTATGCTGTGTATGTTTGTATATGTACTTATTGTCTTCTCTGTTGGAATGTAGGCTCCTTGAGAATAAAGATTTGTATTTCTATCCCCAGGACCTAGCACAGAACTTGGCACATAGTATAGTAGGTACTTAATAAATGCTTTTTGGTTGATTGCAATAGGGAACTCCTCATGAGAAAACCCTCTCTACCAATGCAGATCAGCATCTGCTCTACAATTTATAGTCATAGAATTGCCAAGGGGGCCCTGGGAGGTTAAGCAACTTGCGCAGAATCACACAACCAGCATGTGCCAGAAGCAGAAATTGAACCCAGGTTTTCCTGCCTCTAGCTCCCACTCCCTATTCATTAGTCCACACTGCCTCTCTGAGCTTGTAACACCAACAAAGAGCAGTGTAAAAAGTATTATCAAAGAGGTGAATGACTAGTGAAAGAGGCAGACCATGGGGCTGCAGCAAGTGATAACAAATGGATAACAACAAAATCATTGGTTCTCTATTGATCCCCAACCTGATGTGAAGAGACTTTGCAGTGGGTCCTCAGCACATTGGATCTTTTCCTTATGGAGTATTTACAGAAGAACATCCCTAAGACTCACAGGATGAGAAGGTGTGAAGGGGTTGCAATCAGGAGTGTGTGCTGGAACCAGCTCAAACCAGCTTGTGAGAACGAGTAATTTAATTTTTGGTGTGAGCATTTACACATTAGAAACGGGCAAATGCTATAAATCAGGACTTTATTATTTTGTATGTGGTCTACACTTAGATTAAACTTTAAAAGGTATTGTTTGTACATTTTGGTGGGGGGAGAGCTGATTATTAAACATTTACCAGCATACCCCTGGTTTGCAATCTGTACTATTGGAAGGAGTATCATCAAAGCGCCTTCTGAGAAACTGTGCATGAATTATATGCTTGTTTGTTTTTTAACTTCTAGAGCCCAGGCCCTTTGATGGGGTGCAACCATTTGGATGAGATATGACTATCGTGCCTTTATGTTGTTTCTTGAACTTCTCTATCCACCCATTGGACATCTCCTGTCCAATGAAACAGCAATATCGAATCAACTTGGCATTCCAGAATCACACACTGGCAAAATTTGCAGAGAAGAAGATACTTTAAAAGTACAATGCTTAGATACTGTATTTATCAAACTGAAGAAGTAAAAGGGTATCCTTATAATGCATTTGGATGTTAATTCTTATTCCTTTGTTTTTGCAGGTGTTTAATGTTAAAATAAGTCAACTGTGAGCTGCATAATAAATGAATACCAGCTTGAATCCTAGAAGGATTTGGTTGGCTTGAGGGAAGTTGTTTATGCTAAGGGCTGTGTGTGTGTTTGTGTTTGCCTCTTACATAGTTTGATTTATATTATACAGAATTGTGTCCATCATCTAGACACTACTCTAAACAAGATAATCTGTGTCTATATGGAATGAGCCGTATGCCAATAACTTTAAATAAATACAAGCACAACTTTGTGTTTATATTGTCTGCAGTAAATGCTCACAACTGTTGCTAGTGGTGCCATCTGTTGCCCCTTTTGTACCCCCCACCCACACACATACCCAACTAAGTATGTGTAAGCTCTTGGGGGTTGACCTTGTCTGGAAAGGACTGTAACAAAGAGAAATTCATATTAAGTAGACCAGGACTGTATTATTTCGTGTGGTTTGGGCATTTAAAAAATTCATCAAATTAATATTGACTTCTTTCTTACCAAATCCCCATCTTCCCTCCTTCCCCCTTAAAAAATGTGTTTAGGGGGGAAATCCTCCCAGGGCAGGGTAATGCTCTCTCTACATTTGCATGTCACAGAGCTAATTTATAACCATTGCCTATGTAATAAATCACATATCATGTCAATTTTGATATTCATGCAATAAATGAAACCAGAGGAAAGAAGGATGTTGCTGCTAAATGGAAAGACAACTCATAGGTGTTCCTTAGAGAGGCAAACAGAGGAGTTGACTGAATGGGTTTGTCATATGCCCAAGGCAACAAAAACATCATTTAATGTGATATTTGGTCATCACTTAAGTGCAATGCTAATAATAAACATTTGCAAAAAGAATATCATGAAAATGCTTTCAACCTATGTACTGACATTCATTGTTGAAGATGAAGTGGCAGATAAGTTCTAGAAAGAACTTGATAAGACCTTCCAAATTAAATCAACATACAGTCAGATTCTTGCTGACTTTGACATAAAATTGGAAAAAGTTGATGATGAGAACAATATTGGAAAACATCGTTTAAGATGAAGGCACAAGAGAGGACAAATATTTGGATATCACATAGAAGCAATTTCTATCATGAAAACTTTCTTTGAGAAAAGAATTGACTGGATATGGAAAGCACAAAATAATATCATGAAGAATTAAATAGATTTTATTTGGACAGAAAAATGCAAGTTATTGATGTAGTAATTATTCCTGAATCAACTGCCTGTGTACATAGTCAGGTCATCAACTCAACTAAGATCAGAATTCATTTTTTAAAAAATCAAGGACTATAATAAGAAAAAGACATGACATACAAATGATCACAGAACTATTTAAACAATGGGAAATGGACAATAGAAATGACATTGATACCAACTATCATAATTTTATAAAAATATTTAACCAATGTAAATTAATTCCCACAAAAGACATAAAGAGCCAGAAAACATTGTAGTCAGTAAACATCTGGATTACTTGCCAAATGGAGAGAAAACATTGTTAGAATATGAAGTCATTTATAAAATGATACAAAATATAGATGATGGATGATTATAAGCAGTGTTATCTCATAAAGCAGAGAGAAGTAGATGGTAAAAACCAATTTAAAGAAAACTTGGTGAGAAACTAAGAAAAGTCATCCAAGGGCTTTTAAGGATAAAAATTGAAGGACTACAAGTAGAAGAAAAACGGAAACAAATACAAAAATTATTGTAACTTTTTCTGTATCAAGGAATTACAGAGGAACTACAGCTATACTTGGCCCTTAACATCTCTCTCCTCCAAAGAAATTTTAAATCCTGGTCAGCCATGCTTAACAGGACTCACATATTGTTTGTAGAACCTGGGAGTTGGCAAGAATCTCAGAGGCTATTGAGTTCAACTTGTACCTGAATAGGATTTCCCTCTACTGTGTCTAATAGCCATCCAATCACCATGTTATCTGCAGTGATTGCTAGGTGTTCTGTTCCCCAAGGTAGCTCATTCTACTTATAAATAGCCATAATTTTTTGGAAATTTTTTTTCTTTATATTAAGCTTAAGGTAGCTTCTTCACAACTTCCTCCCGTTTGTTATAGTCCTTCTCCCCAGACCCAAGCAAAGCAAATCTAATTACAAATATTAGAAGATAACTATCATGACCTCTCTCCAAATTCTTCACTTCACTGGGCTAATTGTGCTCAGATCCTTCAACTGAACTTTGGATGGTATGATTTCCAGTCCTCCCAATATATGTGATTCATTTTTCTGGATACACTGAAACTTATTAGTGACCTTTCTAAAATATGGCATATGGAACTGAACCCAAAATTTGTTCTTATCAGTACCTCACAATAAAATGATTTAGGTTCTTCCTCCCAGAAACTATATTTATATTAATGGCACTTAAGATTACACTGAAACGCAGTGTGATATAGTAGCTACAGAGCTGGTCTTCAGAGTCTTCAGGTGGTCCTTGGAAGACATGCTTCTGACACATAATGGCTGAGGGTGATGTGACCCTGGACAAGATACACAGCCTAGTGCCGAACAGTTAATGATCTGCATCGGAAGGTCTTCACTGGGAGTTCTCTGCATAAATGAAATCACAGATCTGGAACCAAAAAGACAAACAGAAAAAGTAAATACAAAATCACACCACTCTTTTCAGTTGCCATGTAACACTGTTGACTTGGTCTCTCTCTCCAGTGAAATCATCAGATTATTCTTACATGAACTCTTATCTACTCTCCCTTTTGCCTTCTCCCCTCTCTGCCCCATCTTGTAATTTATACAGCTAATTTTTGAAACCAAATATAGTACCTCATATTTATCAACATTAAATTTAATCATATTAGATACAAGCTATTGTTCTAGCCTGTCTAGATTTCTTTGGAATTGTATTTTATTATTCAGCTTATTATCTATATCTCACAGCTTTAAGTCATTCAAAAATTTGATAAGCCTGCCATCCATGTCTTCATGGATAGGGCCAAGGAAAAAGGCCTGGTCTAGTCCACCAGAGATTCCAGGCTGCCATCAATTCAAAAAGAGGCAAGGGTCAGTTCAGCTATGACTAGAGGAAGCATTGCTCAAACAAGGGATAGAGATGATCACAAAATATCAAATCAGTAATTTCAATTACATTAAATTGAAAAGTGTTTGCAGGAACAAAATCAATGCAACTAGTAGAATAACTCAATTCAGTCATGCCCAACTCTTCATGATCCCATTTGGGGTTTCCTTGGTAAAGATACTATAGTGGTTTGCCATTTCCTTCTCCAGCTCATTTTACAAATGAGAAATGATGTAAACAGGGTTAAGTGATTTGCCGACAGTCACACAGCCGGCAAGTGTCTTAAGCCAGATTTGAACTCAGAAAGTTGAGTCTTCCTGACTCCAGGCCCCACACTGTATCCACTGCACCATCTAGCTGCCCCAAGAGAAGAATAGAAGCTGTTGATTAGGGGAAAGATAAGAATCCAATATCCAATATAGGGAACTATAACAAATATGTAAGACCAAGAGCCATTCCCCAGTGGTTGGTCAAGATGGTCAAAGGACAGAAATAAACATAAATTTAGCATCCTCAATCCGCTTGATGTAATTATAGGATATGAGAAGCAAGTAACAGAGACTGAGGTGGAAAAGTATGTATGGTTTAGATTTTTCAGGGTCACATTTATGGATTGTAAAAGTATGCTCCTTTCAAAGTTTTGGGGATTAGCAAAAACAATGTACCAATCTCAGTAGCTTTTTCTCCTCTCTCTTACTGATAGGGGTGAACTGAGTGCTCAAAAGTAGAAGAACTGATTTTGCTAGCAATTGAGATGTGGAGTTAGTTTTATAAAAAGTAAGCTTTGGAGGAAAAATTGCTACTTGTTCTTCACCTTTTCTCTTATACCTCTTGAAGACTATAGCAGATGGGCAGGGAGAGATTTTCTCTGTTCTTTCCCCACCCATCAGCAATGGTCCAGTAGAGAAGGTAAAGTTGTGGAGCTGAGACCAGCTGCAGAGTCAGTTAGTAAAAGAAGTGGAGAATCCAGTGCCCGTATTTGGGACCTTTCTTGAGATGTGAAAGGTTAGAACCTGGTTCTTTACAAAAGCACAGAGTGCTACTCTAGGTCAAGATTTTAGCTCTGCCTCAAACCAGAGATGGTGGAGACCACAGTGAAGCACTGGGACCAGAAGCAGGCCCAGGGAGATCAGCAGAGTCATTGATCCAGGAGTAATACTATGACCATGAAGATACCAGAAAAAGACATTAGAAGAACCCTTTAAGTCTAGAGATATAAGTTGCCTTGGCCCCATGTATTCCCAGTGGGCTTCTACTCTTCACACTGATGCTGTGTATTTGTGGGAGAGTAGTTGTATTCTTTCTAGTAACAGAGAACTGGGAACAAAGTAGATATGCCCATCAATTGAGGAAAGTAAAAAATTTTTGGTAAATAAATGTAATGGAATACTGATGAATATGATGAATATGAAGAATACAGAGAAGCACTGGAAGACTTATACAAACAGATACAAAGAGAAGTAAGCAGAACCAGGAAAACAATACCTCACCTGGATTCTTTTAATATCATTTTACTCTTCCATATTGACTAATCTGATTCTAATCTATTGGTCCTTGATTTAGTACCTCCTTGAGAGCAGTCACTTTTTAGTTTGTACCTTTGTATACCAAAAACCTAGCATGATGAATTATAGTTGTTTAATAAATATTTGTTGAATTGAATTGTACCTGGCTCAAAGCAGGAATTTCATAAATTCTTGCTGAATCCAATAGGTTTTTACTCTCCTGATTGCTTGCCTGTTTCTGACTTTGATCACCATCTTATCTGTGTTTCCTGCCATTATCTTATGAGTTTGGTGCTTTCCAAAGTTCCTGACTTGCCTCCTCCTTCTCGATTATGTCCCTGAGACATTCTTTGTCTTTTAGAAACTCAGTACCGCCACGAATTATTTTCCTGGCTCAGGCAAACCAATCCAGACATCCTCCATTGTGACAGCTTGTTGGTTCTTTGTCCAACAATGAGCTTCCCTGTACCTGTCTCTGGTTCTCCTCTGCCCTCCAGTGGCCCCTTGCAGCATTAATTCACCCCTGTTGCAGGTTGACATTTTGTGTGTTTGAAGTAATAAGGAATTTGCAAAAGAGACTGAGTTGGATACAGATAGGGACTCTTTTCTGGGCAGGAATGCCTTAGGTGTGAGCAAAGTCTGAAAACACTTTCTCTCTTTCTAATTAAAAACCAGTCTACAAAATTTTTCTGCGCTCATTCCGGTATTTCGCAAATATTTCAGTAGGCCCTAACAGGTAAAACACTGGAGTACTTATCTATGGAACTAATAGACTCTTAAGGACTTTTAAAGTATAATAAACGTACACAAACATATAATTGAAAAACTAAATTCAGGTGCTTGATATTGGCTAGACTCCATCTAATCTCTTCAATCCCACCCCTCTTGCAGCAATGAATTAGTATGTTACCATATTGAAACCAAAGTGCAAAGTTGAATACGATTTCAAAGTTGCTCCTGGTTTAGGTTTTTCTTCCCAAAGAAAGAAAAAACAGCCAAGAAGAGAGATTGTTATAAAGATATGTCTTTTCTTGTCAAGCACTTAAATAATCTTCCAAAATATAAAACTTCTTCCCTATATGGTAATGTTGGCACATAAATACTACACTTAGGACAGCGGCAAAAATACTCAAACTTCACTCTTGTGACAATACCAAGGTCATTCAGATTATGTCTTTCTCTCAGCAAAATTATGCCTTATGTAATTTTTGCTTTTGTCACCCTCCCACCTCCTTTTTCAGATAACTATCTTCATTTTACATACCTATCTGGTTTCTAGTTCCTTCAGTGTCTACTCTGTCTTATGTACAAATCAAAAACTCAATTAGCTGTTAGCTTATAATAGCTTAAAGTATTAAAATATTTGGAAGGTTTTGTCTTTTTATTCTCAGTGCCCAACAAAGTGCCTTGTACACACAGTAGGTACTAAATAAATGTTTGCTCAATTGATAACCAGGGATATTTGCTAATATCCCTGGCAACTAATAGGGATATTTGCAAGAGATTCTTAAGGAAAGAGGAGAAGGGAATAAGCATTTATATAGCACCTACTATACTTTACAAATACTATCTCATTTGATCCTCACAGCAGGCTCTGAAGTAGATGCTATTATTATCCCCATTTTACAGTTGAGGAAACAAAGGCAAACAGAGTATAAATGACATTCCTTAGGACTGAAACTCCATCAAATGTAAGATGAGAATGAGAATAACAACAATAATAATCTCTTCAAAGTCTAATCCATTTTCTATGTCTTATGTGGGAGCCAATGGCAAAGTGACGGGTTGTTGGCTGTTGTAATGTATAGTGGGAAGTGAGAACTCTGTGTGTCCTGAGATCCCTACAATATCGTGAAGGTCTGGCAGGAACCCTGAAACATTGGTCAGTTGGACTCTGATGAAGCTACTGATTGCGTTAACACCCTGGCTATTATATAAATATAAAATTTAAGAAATCAGATAGCAAAGGGCTACAGACCGGCCCTACTCAAAACTGTTTTGATTATCAGTTTGACACAGTGGACAGCATAGCAGGTGTTGCTTCTTTGTATTTTGCTACTATAACAAGGCAAGATAAACTAGAACAAATCAAAAATTAATCCACCCCACCCCACTTTGCTGGAAATGTTTTGGTGAAATTGGCACTAGCCACCAAAGTGGAGAAACAATTGGCATGCATGAAATAAACTGAAGAAATGAACATCTTCATTATGTATTAACATTATGTCATAACAAGATTAGAAACAGATCTCATCATTTATAGAGGTGGATATCACACTGCTTTTATCAGCCCAAGTCATGCAATAATGTATTACTGAGCAATGAAGGGAAATCATAAAAAATGACTTTTCCCTAAGTTTAGATTAGAGATAATAAGAGATTAGATCCAGGAGCTAGTAAAACTCCAAAGAGGGATATGTTAAAGACTCTGAGCTCATTGAAAATTTTTCACTTAGTGAAAATTGTAGAAATTATGCCAAAAAATAAAATGAATCACAAAATCAACCCATATCTCAAGTAATTTTGAAAAGAAGATGGGCATACATAGATTGGAATTCCAAAAAGCCTCTTTTGAGTTTAATTGCATAAATCCAAATAGCTGACAAATGCCAAAACAGAGCACTTTGAGAAATCTGGTTTTTGCTGGAAATGTATTCTCTCACAGTCTTTGATAAAAGGTCTAAAAATATGTCAGGACCTCCACACAGCAGCATATATGGCAGCTATCACTTTTCCATGGTAAGACCATAGAAAGGTAGAGTTATCAAGGAATTCTCCTGGACAGGTGTCAAACATTGCCATGATGGAATCAACTTGAAAAATAATTTAAAAATCTGTGGAAAGGCACTGATGGAGATTACATCAATATATAGTTGGAATATAGAGTAGAAAATTCAACTTGTCCAACTAATAGCAACTAAAAAGAAATGTGGAAATGAATCTAGAATATAAAAGGACATCACGAACCCAAGATTCCCTTAATAAGAAATTGAATGAAAGTCAAAAATTTAAAACAATGAGAGAAGTTAAAGC